CACAGTGCCAGCTATTTGCAAAGCGGAGGCAGAAGGATCACTTGAAATCACTTGAAACCAGAAGCTTGAGAAAAGGCTTGGCAATGTAGTAAGACCCATCTGAGACAAGGGGGGTGGTGATACATCTCTGTCATCGCAGCACTGTGGGAGGCTGAGTCAGGAGAATCAAAGGTTCAAGGCCAGCCTGGGCAACTTAGTCAGACCCTGTCTCAAAATAAAAAAAGAAAAAGAGGGGCTGAGGATGTAGCTCAGTAGTAGAGTGCATGCCTAGCAGGTTCTAGGACCTAGGTTCAAACCCCAGTGCTGCAAAAAAAGAAAGTTTATAAAACAATATGTTCCATATGATCCCAGTTATGTTAAAAATTGACAGATATTTATAGGAAAAAGATGAAAGAGAACTATACATCAGAAAGGTAACATGCCTATAAGAGGGTGATTTTTATTTTTGTTGTTATTTTTGCTGTTATTATTGTTATTTTGTGGTGCTGGAAAATGAACAGAACTCAAGACATCACATATGCTGGGCAAGTGTCCTACTGCTGAGGTGTGTACATCTCCAGCTCCTTTTCTTCTTCTTTTTTTTTGTGTGTGTGTGTGTGTGTGTGTGTGTGTGTGTGTGTGTGTGTGGTACTGGGGATTGAACCTAGAGCCTTCACATTGAGCTGTATCCCCAGTGTCCCCACCTTTTCTTTCTTTTTTGGAACCAGAGATTGAACTCAGGACCTTGCATTTGCAAGGCAGGTGTCAGCACCACTGAGCTAAATCCCTGGCCGTCCCTTCTTTTCTTACAATTTTGAGACAAGGTCTTGCTGAGTCACCAAGTCGCCTAGGCTGCACATGAATTTCCTCCTGCCTCATCCTTCCAGAGTGCTGGGACCATGCTCAGCTCTACAGCCCCCATACACATACTTTTTTTTTTTTTTTTTTTTTTTTTTGAGACAAGATACTACGTAGTTCAGGCTGGCCTTGAACACAGTGATCATCCTGCCTCAGCCTCCTGAGTTATCTGGGATTATAGGAATGTGCCACCATGCCTGAGTTTCACTCTACTTTCTTTGTTCTCAATGTTTTATAACAGATACAGCATATATTACATGTTCTAATCTGGAAAAATGGTCATTATTTACTGTACAAGATGTAGGTATTGTCAGGACTGTCTACTATGGTTTGCCCTGAGGTTCTACCCTGTACTGGAATGGCACTGATAACCAAAATAACACATGTGGGAGAAGGATTTTCTGGGTAATGATAAGAACATTTCTGGCAGGGAGAGGCTGACAGCTAGAAAGCTGCTGCCTTTGTCCAGGCCTGAGGGTAAGGGTCTCATCTGGGGATAGATGGGAAATCAGCCTCATCTCCCAGGTTCCTGCCCTTTCCCAGCAGGATCAAGTGTGAGAAGGCTCCCAAGCCCCAGGCAGCGCTGTGTGCTCACCTACTGTCTCCGTCGTTATTGGCCTCCAGCCTGGGTGAGGGTTCAGGCAGGCCTGAGATTAAGAAAGCGCTGCAATCTGTCTGCTTCTCTGCATGGTCTTTTGCCCTGTTGAACAGTTTGTGCCCAAAGGTGATTCTGTTTTGGGGACTCTGCTCTATGTACACATAGGTCCATTCTCCAGTGCAAGATGTTTACCAGGCTTGACCTTGCACCAAAGAGGCTGGGCATTGGGCCTCCATCTACTCCTCTGGGTTGTGTTCTAAGTCTTTTTGATCCCATGATCCTTTTCTTTCTTTGCCTTCCCTGGCCGGACGTGGAATCCAGATGGGAGCAGTTCCCACTTCCACACAGGCATACCTCTTCTCTGTGTCCTCGCTAGGGTTGGCCCCAGGGTGTCTCTGCCACAAAGCTGCTTTGCTGGCAGGACCAGTGCGAAGTAGTGTTGCTGTGTCAGCTCAGACCAAGCATGTCCTTTGAACCACAGCATACCTGGGAGGCAGGTGTCAGGGTACAGTTGAGCACCTTTTGTGCTCACTTGGGTGTGTCTGGCTTCATGGGAGCACATCACACTTCCATTGTCTCCTGTGCCCTTCCCTTAACCCTCTCTAACCCTCTCAGAGAAGTCTAGGAAAACAGAGGGTCCACTCTGCAGGGGAGGAGCTTTTGATGTGTGCTAGGAATTGGTTTGTTTGTTTACTTTGTTTGGCTTTTTTCTTCCCCTGGGGATTGAACTCAGGACCTTTGCACTGAGCTACATCCCCAGCTCTTTTTACTTTCTGAGACAAAGTTTTGCTAAGTTACTAAGCTGCCCAGGCTGGGGGTGAATCTGTGATACCCCTGCCTCAGCTTCCTGCCTTAAGCATGTTGCCACCATGTCTGGCTGTACTAGGAATTCTTTGAGGAGCCTGTTTGGCCACCCCAGTCACATATTAGGCGGTGGCACCACTGAGCTAAATTAAATCCCTGACTCTACACTTACCCCTTTTTTTTTGAAACAGGGTCTCACTATATAGTCCAGACTGGCCTTGAGGTCTCTGTGTAGCCCAATCTGGCCTTGAACTTGTCATCCTCCTGTCTCATCCTCTTGAGTCCTGGGATTACAGCATGTTCCACTGTATCTGGTTACCCATATTTTTTCAATACCATTATTTACATATAATTCATATGCCACTCATTTCGCTTAAAGGGTATAATTCATTGTCTCTTTGGTGTATTCACATAGTTATGCCTTTATCACTACATTCAGTGGTGTCACCTCCACCAGAAAACCCTGCACTTGAGCTGGGTGTGGTGGCACATGCCTATAATCCCAGCACTCAGGAAGCTGAGGCAGGATTATCGCTGTGAGTTTGAGACCAGCAGCCTGGGCTGTTATATAGTGAGTTCCAGGTCAATCTCAACTACGTAGTCAGACCCTGTCTCAAAAAAAAAAAAGAGCCCTACAATCATTAGCAGTCTCTCCCTATTTACAACCTGGTCTTCTAATCTACTCTATGTCTCTAAGGATTTACCTATTTGAGACATTTCACATAAATGCAATCATGGAACATGTGGGTTTTTTTTATCTGACTTCTTTCATTTAGCATAATGTTTCCAAAGTTGTCTGTGCTGTAGCATGAATCAGTATGTCTGCCCCTTTTTATGACCAAATGATGTGTGTGTGTTTGAATATACCACATTTTGCTTATTTGTTCATCTACTGGTGGACATTCAGATTGTTTGCACTTTTGGGCTGGTAGGAAGAATGCTAGTAGCCAGCTGTGGTTGTACATCCCTATAATCCCAGCTACTCACAAGTTTGAGGCCGATTTAGTGAAACCCTGTCTCTCAGATACAGTAAGGTGTAGCTCAGAAGTGGAGTACTTGTCTAGTGTGGCCCTGGGTTCAATTCTCAGTACTGGGGAACATACAAAAAAAAAGAAGGAAGGGAGGGAGGGAGAAAGAAAAAGAAAAGGAAGGAAGGGAGAAATACTGGTATAAATACTCATGTACACGTTTTTGTGTAGACATGATTTACGGTTTTTCTTGGGTATTTTCCTAGGTGGGAATGGGTGGTATGATTTTATTTTTATTTTTTTTTTTTGGTACTGGGCATTGAATTTGGGTCCTTAACGCTTGTGAGGCAGGTAGTGGCACCACTGAGCTAAATCCCTGGCCCTCATATGATTATCTTAACTGTGTGAAGAACTCCTGGACTGTTTTCCAAAGTGATCGTACCACTTTACTCCCCATTGGAGGTGCATAACAATTCCAATTCCTCTACATTCTCACCAACATTTGTTACTATCTGTATTATGGCCACCCTGATATTACGGTATCAAGTGGTATCTCATGAGGCTCTGATTTGCATTTCTCTGCTTAATGATGTGTATCATTTCATATACTTATTGGCCATTTTTATATATCCTTTGGTGAGAAGCCTATTCAAATACTTTGCCCATTTTTAAAATGTGTTACTTACCTTTTCTGGTATTGAGTTATAGAGGTTATCTGTATATTCCACATACAAACCCTTTATCAAATACGAGATTTGTGAAAATGTTCTTCCATTCACTTTTCGCCTTCTTGGTAATGTTTAAAGCACGGAAGTTTTGAATTTTGATAATGTCTGTTTTTGTGGGGAAAACCAGGCAGGAATGATTAGGGACAGACATAGAGCTAAGTTCCCACTACCTCTATTTAGCAACCATGAATTTTCTTGCAGTGACTCTGCTTGACGACACAGAAATGACTCGATACAAATAAGGGAGGTCCCTGTGTGTCAGTAGCTTAGCTCCATAAAAGCAGCCTGAATTCAGTGAAATAGGTTAGCAAAGCTAACACAGTGCACCCTTCCGAGGTTGCTTGGAAGATATTATTTGCCCCAAATCTGTCTGCATCCACAGCCCCGTTGTAGTATTGGACCATGCCTAGATTGCTACAAATCCAAGGGTTGGTCTCGAAGTCATGTTCCTATAGGATGAGAGTAGTGGCTTGTTGGAACAGAGTGTGAACCCTGCTATGCTAGCCAGTGGCCTCTTCGGGTACCTGTCAGTCACTAGGACGGAAAGGGAATCCCCTACTTGGACTTGGGAATGCAGAAGCATTGTTACCCTGAGGAAACTGGAGAATTCTGATTGGCACCTTCCAGAAATTTACTATCATGAAACAGAAAGCAGCCTTTGATGACATCTCACCTTTCTGGGACTCTGGGTATTTTTATTTATGAAATGATAATGTTTATCCCCAAAAAGATTCTTATTTCTTAACAAGAGGTACCTTAGGCTCATAGTTTTGCTCTATGGCATCTTGGTGTAATCTTGCAAAGCCAGGAAGCCTGTGGCAGAATCAGAGGAGGAAAATTGCTAGCTAGAAAGTGAAACCACCGTCTCTTTGGATTTGAAGTTCAATTTCTTCATTACACTCCTCCCACCTCAGTCCAGGAAGGGAAAGCTTGCAATTAGCAGTAGTAATTACCCTGGATGACTACCTTGGGAATTGCACGAGAGCACAGGTGAGGGACGGTGCCTGACAAGGCCTCGATTCTCTTTTCCTTCCTCCTAAACCTTTTCTCTTTCTGTCCTCTCAGCTGCCCAACATGTTCGGTGACCTTCGATCCACGTTTATTGCCTTGATGATTGGATCCTACGCCTCCTCGGCAGTCACCTTCCCAGGAATCAAGGTGAGGGTATCACCAGTGGGTTTCCAGCACATTTATCCTGTCCAGTGTCTGTGCAGTGACTCCTCCAACCCTCCCTGACCGAGAGAGAGAGAGAGAGAGTCACTGGTGGTCCTGAGAGCTGCCTGCTCCCTCCCTCGGGGCAGGATACACCTGGGCACCACAAGCAAGAAAAAGAAAATCATTAAACCATGTGAGACGAGAGACTCAAGAATGTCACGTTGGTGCATGACCCCAGGCTGGGGGTAGGCTCACCTCCAGTTCTGCGCCCCCCTCCCCTCAGCCTGTTACGTTGGTGCATGACCCCAGGCTGGGGGTAGGCTCACCTCCAGTTCTGCGCCCCCCTCCCCTCAGCCTGTTGTTGTCGGTCTCTTGCTCCCAATTAGCCTAAAGCACTGCTCCTCAGCCAAGTTGGTTCAGCTGTTTCCCTCCCAGGCAGGATTCTAACCCTGTGTAAGTCACAAAGGGTTAGCATGGTGCAGAAACCTCACAGCTCTCAACCTGGTCCCTTCTCAAACCCTAGTGCTCTATTACCTTCAGCAGGGGCTTCTCCTTTCCTAGCACCAGCACAAGTCCAGACCACCTCTCCAGGGGTGTGAGAGGATGCTGCTGGTGAGGAATGGAGTCACAGGTTACTGGAAATCAGGACAGGAGGCAGGAATCTGGGGCCAGCTATCCCTTGGACTTTCCGGGATATTGTTGCTCCTGGGTCATGGAGAGGAGCCCACAAATTCCCCTTCTTCTTTGCAGTGTCTAACTGCTGGCCTCCCTGGACAGCTGGGGAGTTTTGTGCCAGGACTTTGGGGACCCTGATATAGGTGCTAGAAATAAATGGTGCTCATGAAAACAGCAACTGCTCATTAGCGTTCGGCAGGCTGCCCACTTGCTGGCCAAGTGCTCAGCTCTCTGCCAGGACTCCCTACCTTCACTCCACACCATGAGGACCTGTGCCAGTGTCACATCCGTTTCACAGGTGGCAAAGCCAGATGCATTTTTCTATGCCTGTCTGAGCACATGCCACATGTACTGGAGAGACCTCTGTGGGCAAGGCTCACAATCCTGTCCTCAGGGAGCTGGACTAACAGTAGACAAGCAAATGAATCAAGAAATGCTATAATGTCAGCCAGGACTGTTTATTGTGAGCCAGGGAGACAGGACTGTGATAGTGACGGGGTGTTCAGCTGAGGCTTCCCCAAGATGGTGACGTTTGGTCCAAGTTGAAGGCACAAAGGGTTAATGTCAGGGTTCGATGAATTGGGTTACTATAAGACAGAGTTTCTGATGACCGAACAGCCCGGCCAGTGGCACTGTGTCTGCTCACACAGCTCAGCTCAGTGGGCCAGGAGCTGCCAGGTGCCCCCTGCCCACTCTAACTTGCCCCCAGAGGCTTCCCCAAGATGGTGACGTTTGGTCCAAGTTGAAGGCACAAAGGGTTAATGTCAGGGTTCGATGAATTGGGTTACTATAAGACAGAGTTTCTGATGACCGAACAGCCCGGCCAGTGGCACTGTGTCTGCTCACACAGCTCAGCTCAGTGGGCCAGGAGCTGCCAGGTGCCCCCTGCCCACTCTAACTTGCCCCCACAGAGGCCGCCTGTTCCGGGCTGGTTTTCCTCAACTGCTTCTTTAACTGGCCACTGGAGCCCTTCCCAGGGCCGGAGGACATGGACTACTCGTAAGTAGGCATGCTCTCTGCCTCTATCCTCGTGCCAGCCAACGTCCTGTGGCACCAACAAGCACTCTCCCATGGCCTCCAGGGTGAAGATTAAGTTCAGCTGGCTGGGATTTGACCACAAGATCACAGGGAAGCAGTTCTACAAGCAGGTGACCACCGTGGGGCGCCGCCTGAGCGTGGGCAGCTCCATGAGGAGTGCCAAGGAGCAAGCCGCACTGCAAGAGGGCCACAAGCTGTGCCTGTCCACCATCGACCTGGAGGTGAAATGCCAGCCAGACACTGCAGGTACCCACTTAGCAGCCCTCGCCTTCAGGGGCTGCCTGAGACATCGGCAGGGCATCTGCATCCACACCCCGAGCACTCAGGGGAGCTCCCAGTCCAGAGCTGGAGTGACAGCCCCAGTGATCTCCTGACTGCAGCCAGTGCTGGCCAAGGCTGTGTGGGAAACATCTCACTAAATTTCCACTTCATCCTGAAAGGGGAGGTAGCAGCATCTGCCCTGTGTGCAGATGAGCACACTCGATTAAAGCTCAGGGAGGTTGGGCAGTGAAGGCAAACCTATGGCACCCTTGCCACAGCCAGCTATTTGTATTATTGAAAGCTTTGAAAGGTTCGCCATCACTGGGTTAGGGGATTTGCCCAGCTCCAGTACCATGAACCCCACTGGGGCCTGGTCCCTTGGTTCCCCCTGCCTTCAGTGGAGTGATCAGTGTGCACATTGGGCCCCCAGGAGTGGCTGGGCCCTGTGCTCAGCCCTGAGCCCCACACCCTCTCCCCACAGCAGCACCCTCATTCATGCACAGCGTGTTTAGCCCCATCCTGCTGCTCAGCCTGGTCACCATGTGCGTCACGCAGCTGCGGCTCATCTTCTACATGGGGGCCATGAACAGCATCCTCGAGTTCCTGGTCAGCGGTGACCAGAAGACAGGTAGGTGTCCCCTGAAGCTCAGGGCACAAAGTCAAGGGAGGGGCCCCAGAGTGCCAGTCACTCCCCCTGGCCAGAGTCGGGCCCCTTGGCACTGGCTGGATCGTGTTAGGCTGAGCCAGACCCACAGGGCTGTGGGATGGCAGCATCTAGGACACTGTTTGTCTGTTTCATCATAGCCAGCCTGACTGTTCTTTCATGTCCCCGTCAGGGTTTCCTGGTATAGGAGGGAGGGAAGGACTAAAATAGCTTCATGTGTTGAGGGTGTGGGGTATGTTTTTCCAGGTCCCAGGGGAGGGCCGAGGGTGTGTCTGTAATGAAAATACTCCACAGAGCCGCGTTCTCCACCTGAGCGCTCCTGGAAAGGCATCAGACCCAGCCCCATACCAGGGGTCCCCTGGAGACCACATACTTGGCACCTGGAGGTCTTGGGGACCACAGCTGAGGACAGGTGTCCTGGCTAGAGACTCTGGGGCAGCAGGGCCCACAGTAGGATCTGTGTCCTGCACCATGAAACTGAGGCTCCCCGGGAGTGTGTGATCCAGTTGAGGCTTGTTAACTGCGGGAAACAGAACTGATAACCCACACAACAATGAGGAAGATCTTGAGCTGACTAGAGATTTTGTTCCTGCAAAGAAATTCAGAACTTCCCTAGGGCCCAAGCTGAGTCAGCTTTAGTCATCCCAAACGGGACAAACACATTCGGCAAATCCTTTTTATTGGCAGCCTCACTGGCATGCAACTTTCCTTTGTTGGTTTACTTGTTTTTATCAAGAGGAAGACACTGTAGGCCTTGTAAGGAACCAAAGCAGTTTTTAACAGGGATAAGAATTCCTACTTCAACAAAAGGAAAAGATATCAAAGGGGGAATCCAATCTGATGATGCTGGAAGACTGGTGGTGGCACAAAGTGGAGAAATGTTGAATATCATGTGCAGAAATTCATAATGTGCCAGGGGTGGTGGCACAAGGGGTGGGTAGGCCCCAGCTACTCAGGACTCTGAGGCAGGACGATCAAAAGTTCAAGGCCAGGGCTGGGGATTTAGCTCAGTGGTTCCACAGCCTGCCTCAAAAGTGCAAGGACCTGAGTTCGATCTCTGGTACCAAAAAAAAAAAAAAAAACAGTTCAAGGCCAGGGGCCAGGGATTTAGCTCAGTGGCACTAAACCTGCCTTGTAAGTACAAGGTCCTGAATTTGATCCCTGGTACCAAAAAAAAAAACCCAAAAAAACTGCAAAAGTTCAAGGCCAATCTTGGCAAGTTAGCAAGACCTTTTCTAAAACAAAAAATACAGTGAAAAAGACTTAGATGTGTAAGTCAGTGGTAGAGTTCCCTGGATGTGACACCTAGTACTTGGCAGGTGGGGAAGGTTGGCCTAAATGTAAATACAGAAGAGGCCTTTGGGTGATCTGTTTACTTTTTTCTTTTTTTTTTTTTTTTTTTTTGGTACCAGGGATTGAACTCAGGACCTTGTACTTGGCAGGCACTGCACCACTGAGATACATCCCCAGCCCAAGTGCTATTTGTATTTATTTAGTCCATTGATGTTCACCCAGATTTCTACTATGAGAATCCTTTTTAAAAAAATTTTTTTTTTTAAATTTCTTTGTATGAAGAGATGGAGTCTTGGCAATGTTGCCTAGGCTGGTTGTGAACTCCTGAGCTCAAGAAATCATTTCATCTCAGTTTCTTGAGTAATTGGGACTACAGATGTGTGCTGCCATGCCCAGGAGATCCCTTTTTAATTAACGCACATTAAATTCTGATGGACATATTTTTGGAAAAGCTGATTGATCTTGTGTAAACACCCTATATTATAAATTCTCAGGCCCAGAGAGCTGGAAGCGCTGAGGTATGCAATGGGAGGCAGTCCCTGGCCATTGGGGACTTTGATAAATCAAGTTGTCTGAAATGCTTTGTGGCCCAAGAGGAATTTTTTCCAACTATATCCTACATTGAAAAAGTCAGCCTGGTGATCCATCTGTGATCCCAGCTCTTCAGGAGGCTGAGGCAGGAGGACCACAAGTTTAAGGCCAACCTGGGAAACTTAGTGAAGCCTTGTCTCAAAATAAAATTAAAAACAATAAAAGGGCTGTATATGTAGCTCATTGGTAGTGTGTGAAGGCCTTGTGTGTGTGTGTGTGTGTGTGTGTGTGTGTGTGGGTGTAGAGGAGAGAGACAGGGAGACAGAGAGAGAGAGAGAGAGAGAGAGAGAGAGAGAGAGAGACTTGGGTCCCACCTTCAGTATCAGCAAAGAAAGAAAAAAATACAGAGGAAACCAGGTCAGGAAGTTTGGTCTGTGGCAGACAGGACATTGGTTTTCCCCATCCTGCTTCTCTGGTACCCTCTATCCACCGCCTGGTTGTCTTCCCAGAAGGACTGCGCTGGGGTCAGGAAGCAGCAGGGTTGAAGGAGCAGCTCTGGCTGTTTAGGGGAGATCCATGCTGTCAGATGTCTTGCCTGGTTGTCCTGGCTGAAGTCTTTGACCTTTTCTTCTCACTGAGTGTGGCAGGAGGTGACTGTGACAGAGCAGCATTTCCACAAGGCCACATGGTAGCAGGGGATGCTGATTATGCCAGGCTTCCTGCTCAGCATGTTATTTCCCCATCATGGTCCCCAGCCAGTGACACAGGCCTGATTCACCAGCCTGCTGTGGTAAAGCACCAGCAGATAGGAGAACGTCAGCAGGTGCCTGGGCTGAGCCCTCTCCCTGATTCGCTCCCAGGAGCCCGAGCACTCGGTGGGGTGTGGTGTGTGTGTGTTGGCCCTGGGCTAGCCTGTCTCCTTGCCCTGTCTACCTGTAATGGTCATTACTTTTTCTACCATTAACCTCTCTCTTTCTACTCTTCTGCCTTTGCTCTCTTGCTGCAGTGATGGCCACAGGTAAGCGGGGTGAGGGTGGGGGGGCGTCAAGATTTTAGATTGGCTTTTAGCCAATCTATGCTTAACCCTGAAGTTTCTCACCTTGAATTCCTGACACCCCTCTTGGCTAGAATTGTGGGGTTAGGGACAGAGCTACTATGGACTTTCAGCTGTTTCCCTGAAACCCTCTAGTAAGTTTTAGTCTCATTGAAGATGGAAGCCCTTAAGTCAGATTACTCACTAATGACCAGGCCCGGGATTTAACTCAGTGGTTCCACTGCCTGCCTTGAAAGTAAAAGGTCCTGCTGGGCATGTTGGCACATGCCTACAATCCTGGCATTCGAGAGGCTGAGGCAGGAGGATTGCTATGAGTTCGAGACCAACCTGGGCTACATAGTGAGTTCCAGTTCAGTCTCAACTAAATAGTGAGACCCTATCTCAAAAAACAAAACAAAACAAAATGAAAGTAAAAGGTCCCGAGTTCAAACCCCAGTACCAAAAATAAAATAAAACAGGGCCAGGGATTTAGCTCAGTGGTTCTGATGCCTGCTTTGCAAGCACAGAGACCCAAGTTCAATCCCTGGTACTAAAAAATAAATAAAGCAAAAAAAACTAATGAGCAATCACACACAGCCTCAGTCATGGGCATTGGTAATTTTGTGGTTCCCAAGTCATAGCGACTTCCTGGAACTTCTGGAAGGAAGGGTTTCCATTGTGACATACTGGATTTCATTAGCCATTTCTGGGAATCAAGCAGAGGATTTGGAGCAGAAAATTGGGTGACCTGACCCTGGTTCCAGTTTTGATTTCAGAGATGAAGGTCTCTGGGCTTCCCTCAAGACCTTCAATGAAAAGGGGACTCTGAAGCAGACCCCAGCAGGGCCTGTGGGTATTGGCCCTTTCATATTCCGCCCAGCCTGTTCTCCAGGGCCAGTGCGAGGAGCCCCTGTGACGCAGCATCTTCCTCCCCAGTTGCTCTCTACACCTCCATCTTCGGTGTACTCCAGCTGCTATGCTTGCTGACGGCGCCTGTCATCGGCTACATCATGGACTGGAGGCTGAAGGAGTGTGAAGATACCTCTGAGGAGCCTGAGGAGAAAGACAATAACCAGTATGTAGGCAGAGCCCAGCCCCTGGAGAAGGACCACCGAGTCACATGTTAGGCAGATGGGCTGGGTGAGCTCAGTTTTATAGGTAGCAGGAAGACCAAGCCCAGCTCAGCACTGCACATTCAGGTCTCCCCGCTTTTGTGGAAATTCTTTGGTTGCTAAAATTTGGGAGGCACTCAGATGGAAACAGGACAAATCAGAGGAAAAAGCCATGCCTCCCCAGGATGGCCTTCAGATCCTTAGCATGGGCAGCACCATGGGGCCATCCTAACATTACTTACCTAGAGGGTTTGTTCCACTCGGTGTGAATAGTAAACTGCTACAACCAGATGTGTTAATAGGTTTGTTGATTATTGTAAGATGAAACGGCTGGGCTCTAAGATCAGAGGATGAGTTAACTGCCATCTTCTGTGACTCCACCTTAACATAATAAAGCTGCTATTTACTGTATTAGGCCCAGTTCCAAGCACTTACTACACAATGCCTCAGTTAAGCCCTACAACACCATAAAGAAATGTGGACAAGTGTTATACCCATTCTACAGATGCAGGAACTGGAGTTAAGAGTTTGAGTCATTTGCCTGAGGTCACACAGATGAGCACCAGTGGGCCTGGGACACTGCACATCTCCGAGCACTTGGCATTCATTCTTGGATGCTGTGTGATCATCCATGGGATGTCAGTGTGGGTGGTAAGACTGGAATCAGTAATATTTAATTCACAAGGAAATAATTATAGAGAATGCCCTGTTATCTAGGTCAGGTCCTACAGCCAGGAGGTTATTTGTGCCCATCCCTGTTCCATCTGCTGAATATTTATTTTCCTTCCACCCTCTCCTGCCCCCCCAGAGGGACTCACTCCCTTATTTGGCTTATTAACTGGCTTCATTACCAGCTTCCTGCAAGATTTCAGTGAAGCCAATGACAAAGTGAAGCTTTGCCACATCCTAACTTGGCATATTCCACTCTTCACACCCTGTCATTTGAGCTCATTTTTCTTCACTGAGCAGTATGGAGTGTTGAGGACTGGCTTCTGGTGTCAGAGATCTTCCACTGAGGTTCTCATTCACTGTTTGATCAGGAAGGTGGACCAGGTAGCATCCCTTGTACCCATCTAGCCCTGGCACAGTCCCCAGGATGTGCTTGGGTGGGCTAGGAGTCTTGCTATCCATGTGCCGTGGCTCTGACACCTGGCTGCTTAGGAGGGCCTCCTACCTCCAGCTCCTGTGGTGCTCTGTCTCCACAGAGGCGAGAAGAAGAAGCGGGACCGACAGATCCAGAAGATCACCAATGCTATGAGGGCCTTTGCCTTTACAAACCTGCTGCTCGTGGGCTTTGGGGTGACCTGCCTCATTCCCAATCTGCCACTACAGGTGGGTGTTGGGCAAGGAAGAGGCCAGCTGGGCAATGGGACAACAGGAATTACGTTATATCATGGAAATACTCAACAAAACCAATGTGACTACATTCATTCAATTTAACCAGCCAGCCAGCAACCATTGTTTTCCAAGAGCCTGTTATCTGCCAGGCTTGTGCTGGAAGCAGGGTGAGCTGTAAGGAACAGGTTGTGTTCCACACAACTCTTCCAGGCACACTGTTCTTGCTCTTTGGGGGACCTTGTATAGCATGATCACTGCCCTCCCAGGACTGTGTGCAGGAGTTGTGTGTTTACTTGTTTTGTAATTGGTCAAACAGCTGGAATCTCATGTTCAAAGAAGTCTGGCACTTTGGACATTGGCAGGAGTATTTGCCACCCAATACAAATGTGCCCATTGGAGCTAGGCATCGTGATGCATACCTGTAAGCCCAGCATTCTTGGAGGCTAAGGGAGGAGGATCAAAAATTCAAGCCAAGCTTGGTAAATTTAGCAACTTATCAAGACTGTCTCAAAGAAGGTCCACAGATCTCAACCCTGGAAGGTTTGAAAAGCTGGATAAAGATTGTGATCATAGCTTGAGATCTTGGTTCAAAGGCTTAATTCCTTTGCATAAGATTTTGCATATTTGTGAGAGAGTGTAAGGAAGACTTTGTCACCTGCCTGGCTCCATTCTTTGGTCTGTGAGTATTCTGGTACTGTAGTAGATCTTGGCCCAGGCCCCAAGTTTACACACTCTATAAAGGGATACAAGTGATTGCATTGCTTCCAGATGGGTGTGGCCCAAATCCAGATGGTATCTCAGGACAAGCCCAGGAGGAAAGCAGCAAGGCCTCCCTGTTTACAAGTGGCCAGGTGTTGAGCTGCATTGAGCACACAAGTATGCACACCCACAAGGTCTGTTGTGTATGCACCACCCTGAGCACACAGAGGAGAGAACCCGTGGGAGACTTCATCAGTTCCAGTTGGGAAGGTCATTGCTTCTCAAGTGTTCTTCCCTGGCCTCCTGGGCTGCCCTGTCTGAAGACTGGTTGGTAGACCCTTTCCCTGATTGTCTTGGTCAGTCCAGGAGTAATACTCAGTGGGGAACAGCCACTTGCTCTTTGTTGTATTGAACTCTTATTGTAGAGAAAAAGTTAGGAAAAAGCAGCAAGGAATTTGGAATGGAGAGGAGCCTGCCCAAGTATGTGCATACACGGGTGTACACATTTGGACACAGCAGTCTTCAACCCTGGCAGGAATATCCCCTACCCTCTCCACCACCCACATTCCTGAGAGCAGGTGCTGAGCTGCTGAGCAAGATAACAGGGTTACGTACAGAAGACCCAAAGTCACACGGTTCTGAGGCAAATTCTGGGCCTTTCAGGGATCACTAACAAGGGCTCCCAGAGCTTGCTAAGCCTGCAGAGACCATCCCAGAAAGGAACCCTTCTGGAGACAACCAGAGAACTTTGCTAGGGAGGTGTAAAGGAAGCCCCTGCCAGGGGCCCCAGGACAACCAGGTGGGCAGGTCTCCAGTGAGTCCTGAATGGGGAAAGATTAGAGATCAAGGTCATGGTTGGCAACCTGCTCTGCTGTACAGATACATACTTATTTATAGACAATTAGAAGGCTAGTAAGAATGGTCCTGTTCTGTACTTTTTGCAGACGTTAGCCTGATGTAGTAGCACATGCTTGTCATCCCAGCACTGGGGAGCAGAGGCTGGAGGATTGCCATGAATTCAAGGCCAGCCTAGGCTACATAGTAAGTTCAAGGCCAGCCTGAACTACATAGTAAGACCTTGTTTCAAAACAAAAACATTTGCAGATATCTGTAGTGTCATCATGTCTGTAGTCATCGCTGACTTCAAAGATCTGTGACATGACATCACAGGATGGTAATCCACCATCATGTATGTATTTCCACCTGACATACAGTACACATAAAACACCTTTGAACTAGGCGTGGCAGCACACGCCTATAATCCCAGCATTCAGAAGGCTGAAGCAGGAAGATCCTGTGAGTTTGAGACCAGCCTGGGCTACGTAGTGAGTTCCGGGTAAGTCTTAACTACATAATGAGACCCTGTCTCAAAAAAATCAAAGGGGCCGGGGATTTAACTCAGTGGTTCTGCTGCCTGCCTCGAACGTACAGGGAACCAAGTTTGATCCCCAATACCAAAAAAAAAAAAAAAAAAAAAAAAAAAAA